TTAATTAAGTAGGAAATGGAACCAAATTGACCTTTGATATGGAAATTGGAGATTTGATATGCCATTGGTTGGAGCCCTTATTTCACAAGACCCACCTGTATAATACTTCAAATTCAACACAGAAAAAGAATATATAATTTTTTCATTCAATAAAGGTCACAAAAACATCAACACTAACAAATCAGAGTCATACCTTCTGAAAATCTGGGTTCTCTTTGAAGCTGTCATTAGTGATTCCATTGCACAGACGTAGCAAAGAATTGGAACGAACTTCTCGAGCTCGCTCATGGAATTTGTGAAAAACTTTTATAGCAAATGTAAAGAATTAAAAATAATACTTTTTCTTTATTGTAATATTTTTGCATGCAACTAAAATTGAGGGAACTGTTGTATGATAGCAGATTATAATAATTTCGATGTGTGAATATGAAATGCTATTGTCCTTTCCACCTTTTATTAATTTCCCACCAATATCCTAAAGTCTTGTAATGTCTAAAATGACACGGTTCCTTTCAAAGTAAAATTCTTTTAATTCTGCAGCGATAGAATTATAGAACCAACATTTCACGAGCAGAATATTTGATAATACTTAAACCTACAAGGGCCGTACGTTCTTTCCAGTATCTTATTAGAATCCTACTAAAACTTACAATGTTCACTAAATATAGCAATTTGCAGTAGTGGTTTTTTTTTCAATGACCCAGTTTAAAATTTTAAAAGGGCAATGAATTTAGGATTCCTGTCTTTTTCCTGAAACCCTGTTTGTTCAATTTCTTTCATTCAACAATACTATTACAGTATTAACTTGGGAAACTCTATTCTCAAATGTTTGGAAAGATTCTCTCTTAATGATTTGGCTTCGAATTTTATCAATTAAAAAACTATTTATTCTTATTAATTTGCAGATTTTCATAGATCTTCAACAACAAAAAAAGGCAAAACGATTCTATCAAACGAAGAACAAAACAATTAGATGTGATTGAAAACCCGAACTAATATACTGTTAAAGCAAAAAATCATATAAAGGGAAGTTAAAATGTTGAAAAATCATGGCTACGGACTCAAAAACTTATTTGAAATCTCTCTTTTTCTTCAAAAAATAACCCAAAAAAAAGAAAAAGGATTTCAAGACCAAAACAAACGAACACCTTACCTAACAGAGTTCACAATGACAGGGCGTAAAGGCATATTGGATTCCTGTGGCTCTAACTTCAAGTGCAGTTGCATCTCCAATCCTCTTCCAAGATTTGGTACGAATTAGGCCCTCCTGAACTACAAGAACAAAAAATTATTAAAATGCCGTGCTATCTCAGGAGGAAAATAAAATAAAATAAAACTCATGCATAGAAATTAGAAAGGCTTTACCTATTTAATGTAGCACGTTGGAATTCCAGAAGGCAAGTCTTGAATGAAGAGAATCCAGGTAAAAATAAGCAAATCCCATAAGAAACACCACAAATTGTAAGTTAATACATTTTATGTTAAACATAAACACTATAAATTGTAAGTTAACACCATCTGGATTTACCCAAGGACCTTCCAACAATAATGATAAACTACGCAACATGTGAAATATAATTTTTCTCCCTCATCAAACCAGTTATTGTAATGTACTCACGTATCCTTTCTCTTCTTCGTCCTTTTCATCTACACAATCTCTCCAACTACTGCACCATAATCTTAGCCACAGTTTTTCCATTTATACATGTAAATTATTTCTTAGTTCATACCACCAGAATTGTTACCTGCCCAATAAGATATGCATCTATTTTAAAGCATTCTTCACTAAAAAGATCATATCATCAATTAATTCCAAAAGATGAACAATAAAAGCTCAATCTTGGAGCCCAGCAGATGAAAACCGGAGCAACTTATTAATTATCCATGAATCAATGGAAGAATTGAACACAAACAGAGCACCGAAAAATAATTTTCTATTCAAAAGCAACAGATAAAGATAGGAAGAGGAAAAGAGCGCTTCTTTGAATTGAAAAATATAAAGACATACCAACTGCGTTCAAGCTCGATGACTAAACTTGAAGAAGAAATTAATGCGATTGAAGAACCCTTAAAAGGCTGAAGGAGCTGGGTTGAAGGAACTCGTGGTCGAGGGAATATTTATTCACATTGATCGCTGAAGATGGGAAGGTGTGGATGAGGTGGACAGTTGGCGGAGGTGGTGGTGGTTTGATGGTGCTCATCCTCAAAATGAAATAAAGATAAAAAAGGAAAGGCATAAAGTAGATTTCGCATACTAGGGTTTGCTGGAACTCTTCTTTGGTAGCTTATCTCTCAATAGCCATGGCCTTCTTCTCCGCAGCCCTCGTAGTCTCGTCAACTTCGGCCAGCTTCGGTTTGACGATGGTTTGGGGAGGAGGCGGCGGGAGAGCGACTTTTTCCAATGTGATCTCGACTCTGGCGACTATTTCGCTCGAAGGAGAGAGAGAGAAAGAAGAAGTAGAAATTAGGGTTGAAGAGAGAGTTAAAGGAAGACGCAGACCCCCTTTTCTCTTTCCCCGTGCGCGGACGGGGAAACCGGGGAAGACGCAGACCTCCTTTTCTCTTTCCCCGTGCGCGGACGGGCAAACCGTGCGCGAACGGGGAAATCCAATTTCCTCGTCCGCGAACGGGGAAACCGGGTTTCCCCGTCCGCGAACGGGGAAACTGGGCCATTCTCCCCGTGCGCGCACGGGGNTTACGATAGAAGAAATATGTGTTGAAGATATTTCATCCATTTAATTATTATATTATATTATATTATATGCTCAATTTTAACAATATAGACACAAAAATTGAAAAGGAAACTATTACAAAACTAGTTGAAGAGCGGTCAATTGTGAAAACTAATGTAACAAAAATCAAATATTCCTTCTTTTAAGAGAATGAGGGAAATATGGAACCTTATCCGATAGATTGTTTTGCCACTTTACTGCGCCACTGAAAAAAAAAATGAGAGAGAAAGAGTGGAAAGTCAAAAACTTTGAGAGGAAGAATTAATTGAAAGATATTTTTACGATAGAAGAAATATGTGTTGAAGATATTTCATCCATTTAATTATTATATTATATTATAGGAAAAATTGCCGCCACGGTACCAACTTTTCACGTTTTTGTAGATTTTGCCCAAACATTTCGTTTGTACCATCCACGGTACCAAACCTTTAAACAATTCTCACCCCAAGTTCAAATTGACAGAAACAGTTAATTTGATAGTTAGTTGACCAATAATTAAATGTTTGACCAATTGTTTCCAATTTTTAAAGGGTAAATATGTAACTTTACCTTTTTCATATGAAAAAAAATTAAGATAAAAGAATTAAATTTTAAAAAAAACCCCATCCTGCCGCCCCGCCCCGCCGCACCCCGCCGCACCCCACCCCAATCATCTCCTCTTGTGAAGAAACTGAAGCTACGTCCGTAACTTCAATGCATTTACCAAAGCAACCTCTGAGCGTTCAATTTCCGTTTCCGTGGTCCAAAGATCCGATTCCTGTTTTAGGGCATGTTCTGGCAATTTTCCTAATCTGAACTCAAAGGACTATTGTTTGCCTCCTTTTCAAGAGCCCATGGGAGGGGTAAAACATGATAAAGAAGATGATTTATCTCACGACGTTTCAAAGCTACCGATTGCTCCAAAACAGATAGAGAAAGGCCACTTTGATAAAGTTTTACCAGCAGGAGATTCCAGCGACCACTTTGATTCACAATCAAATGCAGTTCCAGTGGGCCATATCCGGAGTATGGACCCTAAAATTACCTCTTCAGATGGCAGAGAAGTTCCAGAATTCTATTTAGACAACATATCATGATACATCTCAGCTTAAAAACTTGGAGCTGTCAAAATCTCTGGCTGAGTGCGAGAGGAAGATGTGAAATCAGATCATCGAATTAATTCTGACTTAAGTTCTGAAGATTTTAGGCAATTCCCACAGGATGAACGTAGATCCAGTAGTGATAGTCTGATTAGAATACCTGGTAAATGCATTGAAGATACGGATGTGGCTTCAGTTTCTTCACAAGAGGAGATGATTGGGGTTGGGGTTGGGGTGGGGAAGAAGATGAACAGTACCTTGGGGTTTTTTTTTTTTTAAATTTAATTCTTTTGTCTTAATTTTTGATATGAAAAATGTAAAGTTACGTATTTACCCTTTAAAAATTGGTCAACAATTGATCAAATATTTAATTATTGGTCAATTAATGGTCAAACTAACGGTTTCTGTCAATTTGGACTTCGAGTTCGAATTGTTTAAAGGTTTGGTACCGTGAGTGATACAAATGAAATATTTGAACAAAGTCTGCAAAAAAGTGAAAGGTTTGATACCATGACTGCAATTTTCCCTATATTATATACTCAATTTTAACACTACAGACACAAAAAATGAAAAGGAAACTATTATCAAATCAGTTGAAAAGAGGTCAAGTGTGAAAATCAATGTGACAAAAATGAATAGTGAATCAACGATTCTCTCTTTTAAGAGAATGAGGGATATATTCTAAAAAAAATCATTATTTCGAAACATTTTTTTTTTATTTCTAAAACCACATTTTAGTGGAGCCCAATGTCAAATTTAGTGTAAAAAAAAATGTACAAGTAGCATGATCCTTTTGTAATGGATTAAGCTATTTGTACATTCTTTTGTTGATATGAAGTTTAACATGCTTTGAAAATTTAAAGTGTTGTTGGCGAGAAAGTGTGTAATGTTTAAAAATTGGCTAATCATGATACGACATGTGACACAATGTCAAATTTAGTGTAAAAAAAATGTACAAGTAGCATGATCATTTTGTAATCACCTGACGTGTAAGAAGACTTTTCAAGCTTTAGCCAAACGCGATTGCTCGACATCTTCAATTCTGAGTGGTAGACTGCAGTTGACCAAGACTTTTTTTTGTGAGTACCACAACCCTTGTACAATTCTATTATTTGATAGATTCCCAGTCGAGAAATTTAAGGGCAGGCCTGATTTCTCATCAGCCGGCAAGATTGGCGCTTATTCATAGATGTCCAATCACTATGACAATTGGGAAAGACTGGTGGAAGCCGTGCTCAAGAGGGAGGAATTGCGACGAATTGCTTTATTAGATGACTCGAGGGAATCCAGCTTCAACTCCATACCATCATCCAGTTTCAATTTCGGGTCAAGTTCTAATACTGTAGTAGATGATAGGGATTCGGACATATTTCAACAGTTTGATGCTTCAGTCGAATTTCTCCTAGAAAGCTTGAAACAGTTGCTTCTTTACAATGCTAGTATGACTCTTGATGTGAAGAGTCAGGTGGAATTTATGTGCTATGATTTGCGTCTGTTTAAAGCTTTCGTCAAGGACTCGACCGAGAAGCGGAACAACGATGCCACCCTTCAAGAACTGGTGAAACAAATCATAGACGTGTTTTATGATGCTGAAGACACTGTGGATGCAATTGTAGCTCGGGCAGCTGTGAACAAGTCCAGGAGGAGCATCCAGAGGAATTTTCATATATTTGATTATCACGCAAAACTTCGAAGTGTGGGGAAAAATTTTGAGGGCATCAGGTCCAAGGTGAATGATATATATATGAACAAGAAGTTTGGGTTTGAGCCACCCAAGATGAGGACTGTGTAGAAGAGAAATGTGCAAACAACTCTGCGAAATGTAGATCTGGGATTGGTGAGTAAGATGAAAGAAATTTCTTTTTCTTTTTCTATTTATTTTTATTTTTGGATGGAAATCGTCAAGAGGTCATTCTATTGTACATTTTTGAAATGTTGTGACACATCTACTTCGATTTAAAGGTTTGAAACTGCAAATTTTCATAAAATATTTAAGGGTTAAAATCTTGTTTGAACACTGAACTTTATGGCTTCTCTTTTTTGTTGCAAATTTTCCTAAAATATTTAGGTCTTCTGAACTGAAAAATAGTATTGCTTGTTTGGAGTTTCTTTGGATTATATCTGTACTAATGGTTTCTCGAGAGTTTTTATTACTTTCTCGCTCGATTACTAATATTAATTTCATTAATGCGTTTTGTGAGAGCTTCTCAAAGGGAATTCTTCTGTCACTAATGTTTGTTAGATCATTGCTGGCATGATGTTTAGAAAATGGGAAATGCTAGGGGTACATTGGGGTGACATATGAGTGAGGTGGGTCCCATGCTACAGTATCGTGGGCCCCACCCCCACTCACATTATGTCATCCTTTATGTCAACCTCAATGTACAAGTAGATTAATCCTACGTTTGATGAAGCTATAGAGAAGNACATTGTCAAAATTATTGTGCAAATTCATTGTACAAGTAGTTTAATTCTAACATAATATGAGTGAGGTGAGTCCATGCTACAATATCGTGGGCTCCACCCCCACTCACATTATGTCATCCTTTATGTCAATCCTAATGTACAAGTAGATTAATCCTATGTTTGATGAAGCTATAGAGAAGTGAATCCAGTCTTGTGATGGGATTAGGAAGTTAAATTATCAATTGCTAGATGAGTTGTTTTATCAATACAAGCTACTTCTGGTTTCTCGTGAAATTCAATAGCTTCGCATTGTTGTCCAAAACATTTTGCTTGCTTGTTAATTATTTTTCCTTATTCATGGTTAAAAGAAACTATTAAATTTGTAGCGCAAAAGGATATGTAAAAGTAATGCATTTTATTATAACAAATTATTAGGCTCAAAATCAAATTCAGTTACCGATGAGTGGACCCCGAGTCCAAGCAAAGATTGAAGCAATGTTGTTTGTGTTAGTTTTACCTCCTTTTGTTGAGCTTTGTTAGTTTTACCTCTTGGTGAGCTTTGTAGTGGCGTGTGACAATTTCGTAAGCTACTTCAGCTTTAATCGTTTTTCCATTAGGACACACATGAATAAAGAATTAGAAATCTATTAGATTCTTGTCTGAAGACGTGTATGAATTCAAAATTGAATATTATTAAGTGATCAATGCAGTTTGGTGACGTTAGATAGAAAAAAATTGTCTGAAGTTTGATCTGAAGAAAGCTTTCCTAGAGGACAAGACCGAGAAGCGGAACGTGAATGCCACTCTCAAAGCATTGGTGAAACATATCAGAGAAGTATATTATGAAGCTGAAGATACCTTGGGACATATTGTTTTTCACGTAGATAGGAGTAGCATCCAGAGGGTCATTCATATATTCAATTATCGTGCAAAACTTCGAATTGTGGGAAAAAAATATTGTACTTTTTAATTATTTTTTTTCTTTTTTGTTTCTTTTTATTTAATTATTTTAAATTGAAAATTTTAGATTTATCAGTTTTCCCTTTTTAAGGATGGTCAGGTTATGGTCAAACTGCCCAAATCTTTTCGAATTTGGAGATTGTTTGAAAGGGATTAAAATCAAATTAAAATTGAAAATATAGTTGTTGGAGTTGACTTTTATTAGACGAGTGAGATCCAATAACGACTATATTTTCAATTTTAATTGGACTTTAATCCTTTCCAAATAAGTCCTTGTTATAAAAACATGCTTCTTACCTTTTATTACAAATTTCGACAATTAATGGAAACAAACGATTTTAGTTAGTTAGCTTTGGTTTGTCAAATAAATGATGGAAATGGAGGCTAGCATACATTAGTGGAGTTCAATCCTCGAACGCGCTACCCAACGATCAAACTTAGTAGGACCATTTCTTGAATTCGAAATTCTATAAAACAATTTACAATGTTTCCTAAACTCATTCAAGTATAAGATAGAGAAATTTTAGAATTTTCTAATATCATTTATGCACTCAAATGAGCGCGAAAAATAATTCTCGAGTACACTAAACATATCACACGAAAAATGGCATAACTGATCCCATCGAATTTATATGACTTGATTCTGAACTCAACAGATAGATGACTCATAGGGCTTTCAAACCCCATTAGTCTCATATAAAAATATGCAAAATTCGATTTGAAATGACAGTTTGAAAATCACAGTGAAAAAGGATATGTAAAAATATATAATGCATTTTATTATAACAAATTATCAGCTCAAAATCAAATTCAGTTACTGATGTGTGGGCCCCGAGTCCAAGCAAAGATTGAAGCAATGTTGTTTGTGTTAGTTTTACCTCCTTTTGTTGAGCTTTGTTAGTTTTACCTCTTGGTGAGCTCTGTAGTGGCGTGTGACAATTTCGTAAGCTACTTCAGCTTTAATCGTTTTTCCATCAGGACACACCTGAATAAAGAATTAGAAATCTATTAGATTCTTGTCTAAAGACGTGTATGAATTTCAAAATTCAATATTATTAAGTGATCAATGCAGTTTGGTGATGTTAGATAAAAAAAAATTGGGGAATAGGAGAACAAAAAAATTATCTGAAGCTTGACCTGAAGAAAGCTTTCCTAGAGGACAAGACCGAGAAGCGGAACATGAATGCCACTCTCAAAGCATTGGTGAAACATATCAGAGAAGTATATTATGAAGCTGAAGATACCTTGGACATATTTGTTATTCACATAGATAGGAGTAGCATCCAGAGGGTCTTTCATATATTCAATTATCGTGCAAAACTTCGAATTGTGGGAAAAAAATATTGTACTTTTTAATTATTTTTTTTCCTTTTTGTTTCTTTTTGTTTAATTATTTTAAATTGAAAATTTTAGATTTATCAGTTTTCCCGTTTTAAGGATGGTCAGGTTATGGTCAAACTGTCCAAATCTTTTCGAATTTGGAGCTTGTTTGAAAGGGATTAAAATCAAATTAAAATTGAAAATATAGTTGTTGGAGTCGACTTTTATTAGACGAGTGGGACCCAATAACGACTATATTTTCAATTTTAATTGGATTTAATCCTTCCCAAACAAGTCCTTGTTATAAAAACATGCTTCTTACCTTTTATTACAAATTTCAACAATTAATGGAAACAAACGATTTTAGTTAGTTAGCTTTGGTTTGTCTAATAAATGATGGAAATGGAGGCTAGCATACATTAGTGGAGTTCAATCCTCGAACGCGCTACCCAACGATCAAACTTAGTAGGACCATTTCTTGAATTCGAAATTCTATAAAAAAATTTACAATATTTCCTAAACTCATTCAAGTATAAGATAGAAAAATTTTAGAATTTTCTAATATCATTTATGCACTCAAATGAGCACGAAAAATAATTCTCGAGTACACTAAATATATCACACGAAAAATGGCATAACTTATCCCATCGACATTTATGACTTGATTCTGAACTCAACAGATAGATGACTCATAGGGCTTTCAAACCCCATTTGTCTCATATAAAAATATGCAAAATTTGATTTGAAATGACAGTTTGAAAATCGAACAGAAAGTTGAAATTTCTATTTTACGTTTTTAGATGTCCAAATCCACCACCTAATCATATTTTCATGGAAGAATTGCAGTTGGGGTCCCAAATCTTTTAAATTATTGCAAACTATATGCAAACCTTTCATTTTTATAGTTGAAGTCCCAAATCTTTCATCTCGAGTGTAGTTGGAAGACATGTGAATGGAATCCATCCATTAGATGGTCAGTTGACCAAAAGTTAACTATTTGATCAAATTATCCCACATAAATAATTAATATAAAAATATAAAAAACAAAAAATCTTTTAATCAGACTGTTGACTTTTGGTCAATTGATGATCAAATGGATTAAGTCCGCCACATGTCCTCCAGCAATAGGGATGAACTACAAATTAAAAAGTTTGGTATGATCTATAATAATTTGAAAGATTTTGAACCTCAACTGCAATTCTTCCCATTTTCATTTTGAAACTTATGCTAACAAGTCATACTAACATAATCCAATAAACCTCAATTCATAGAATTATACAAAAATCAAATTTCATGTCCAAATGAAACGAGTTCAGACACAACTAATTTTTTCAGCCCATTACCTTAGTCTAAACATTAAAATATATGAAAATAAATTTAAAACATGAGAAGCTTGGTCTTTGAATGATTTCTCTCCCTTTGACTTCTCTACAATCCATGCATTCTCCATTCATCCACGATCCCTTCTCAATCTAAACTTTTTGTACAATAGGAGTGAGCATAAAGCTTCGTAAAATTTTCATAGGTGCATTTCCCTTTGAACTAATATGCATGTTCACATGTAAAACATAAAAAAACTTTATATCATAGACATTTTCATGTAGTTGGATTATTGGTAAAATCTTTGATTCCGAAGAGTTTCTTATGGTCGTAGAAATCAGTTGTGGTTATAAAATTTTAACATTTACGATTTATAACTTGCAATCACATTTTTACACATAAAATGTACATAGACATTTATAGGAGAAACAACTTGCACCACCTACTTTGATTCTTGACATGAAAATAAGAAATCAGTTGCCTTGAATAACCAACCTTGCAATAATACTTTTTGTAAATAATCTAAAACTAAGACAAATTTGAGAGGAAGAAAAGTGAAATTCGAATTTGAGGAGAGGTGGGATAAAAAAGTGACCTTCCTTTTCTTATAATCTCCCTTTTCAGTGAAAAACTAAATGAGAGAGTTGTGTAATAATAAGTCTTATTAAATTAAGCCTTTAATCGAGAATTTGAAGAGTTTTAAGCAAAAATAATAATTCTTGTAAACTGTTTATACAAAAATTTAAAAAAAAAAAAAATCTACATGATAACTCAAACTTGAATTGT